CTGGACCAAACCCTGGGCTCAAAGGCCAGACCAAGGCTGATGAACTTTGGGTCTGGGTTGGACCCCAGCACCTTGACAAACAACTGCATTATTAAGTCCTGGTATTAACAATGCTTCCTAACTGCCATGAGCATGAAAGTCAGGGCAATAAGTGGCCACTGGCCATCCTGAAGCAAGGGTTTGGCTGCTTCAGGCTAATTCAGTCAAACAGATGGACAGGCAGTGGCTAAGGGTGGTCACTGGTGGCTCTCGGACCGCCAGTGGTGCTTTGAGGCCCCCATCCTCTCCAGCACCCCCCGCACACAGGTCCTCCAGCTTAGAAGGTGTGCTTGAAGCTCTGCACCGTGTTGTATGCGTTCAGGTTACTGTGCCCAGCAGCCCAGCCATGGCGTGCGGTCACATGTCTCGTGTCCCTGCTGTGCACGAAAAGGCTGCACTGGACAGTCCCCACACGTGCCCGATGTGCCCTCTTTGTGCCAACTGCTGGGTCCCAGCCTTCCCTGAAAACACCGTGTGTGCCTGCCCCAAGGTCCCACCGTGTGGCTCTGCCCCTTCCGTCCACTGGCAGGGCCGCACCTGGCCCTGGCCCAGCACCACGTCTGGGAGGCAGGGATTCCATGCCCTGGAGTCTGGGCCTGCCTGACTTGTTGCCATGGAACTGTCTATACTGCAAGCAGTTAAAATTGGGGGTTCTGCCTGGGTACCCCTCGGTCACAGAAACCAAGAGAACTGATCTCAGAGCGACATTGTCGTGTTGAAAGCCCAGCAGAGCACAGGTGAGGGAATGTCTGCAGACAAGCTCAGTGACCTTCCCTCTGTGAGGGCGTGTGGGCAGAACCACAGCAACCCGTCAAGACGAGCAAAGGAACGCTGCCTCAGCTCTGCCCTGTGCAATCTGCTGACCTTGACCGCTGCTCCCTGGCCTCTGCGCAAGACGAAGGCTGGCAGCCCCTTTGGACCGTGACAGAGAGGACCTCGGGGGGCTGTCTCGTGGCCTTGCCTGCAGCACACACCCCGCAGGTTCCCAGAGAATATGAGTCTGGGAGTCATGACCACGTAGAGGAGAGGCCTCCTTCCCAACCCCCGAGGGCACGGCTGCAGAGCCAAGAGCCAGCAGACCTTCAGACTGCTCAGGGCTTGGCTCACCACAGCCCCCTCCAGGGGAGGCAGACCTGCGGCCCGAGGCCTGAGAGGTGGCGCCCAGGCCGGCGTGCACAAGGCCCCTGCCACAGCATGTCTCCCCGCAGCCCCTTGCCACCGCGCTCAGACCTACAGTGACAGGCTGCAAACCCTAGCTCCCTACCAGAACTGTCCAAGTGAGGCTCCCTGGAGGTACGTGCTGCCGTTAGCGAAGGTACTCTGCCTACTGGGTGACTCCATACACAAACCACCGTGGTGGTGGAGGTACCTCTGATGTCGGAAGCTGAGCATCATCGAGGGAGAGTGTCACCGCTGCTTCACGGCCTCCATCACCGAAATCCACAAAGGACCCCACGGACCTGCACTATATGTGTGTCTGTCGCCGAGGCTGGCACAGAGGTCTCTGAGCACAGCCAAGGAGGTTTCAAAACTGCAGGATGAGAAGGCACGTGTCACTGTGAACTGGGGATGATGTGCTTTTTCTCTGCTTGTCTGCCTCCCTAAAACAAAACGACAGGATTGTGTCTCATGAGCACAGGAGGAAGAGGCAAAATGGCCCAGGCCCCAGGAGGTGGGACTGAGGGTGGAGACTGCCTCTGGTGCAGTGACCACGAGGGACCAGAGCTGTCACTACCCTTGGAGCGGCCCCGATGGCATAAGAAATGGGTGTGGTTAACAGGAAGAAGATAGTATTTCGGAAGTGGGCTGAGGCCACTAAGAAGGCCTGGCAGGGAAAGCAAGCTCTGAGGCTCTGGGGAAGGCCAGAGGCAGAGAAGGCCCTCCTTCCAGCTCCAGCACCGGGAGCAAGCCAGGGTCCTGCCTGGTGGGGCTGACACCACGCTCCACCTGGGGGGTGGGGGGGGGGGGGGCCGCCACGCACAAATGGGGCTTGGCAGTGCCCAATACCTGCTTGTCTTAAATACTGATAGGGCAATCTGGTTTTCATTCTATGTGTTTCTAAGACTTAAATATCTGACTTGTCCCCAACATGGCTGAGACCCTGATGAGGGAGGCTTCACGTGCTGACACAACAGGCCCCTGCTGAGGGCTCCTAATGGGGTCCAACAGTGGGCCACGCTTGATAAGGCGTTTAGACGGGAGGTGACGACAGGGAGGGGTGCAGTCGGGGCCAGCCGCCCACCTGGGCACCAGGAGCACGAGGGGCTCCAGTTCAGAATTGCTCACGTACGTCACCACAAACAATGTTCACGATGAAACATTTGAAAATACAAGTCTTCTTTAAAAACTAGCACACATGGGGTGCCTGGGTGGCTCAGTGGGTTGTGTCTGCCTTCAGCTCAGGTCATGATCCCGGGGTCCTGGGATCAAGCCCCGCATCGGGCTCCCTGCTCGGCAGGGAGTCTGCTTCTCTCTCTGCCTCTGCCCCTGCTAATGCTCTCTCTCTCTCTGCTGAATAAACAAAATCTTAAAAAAAAACAAACAAAGAAAAAGCACATACACTTTAAGAGAGGCACAGCTGGCTGACGCTGAGAAGTAGATGCTGGCGAGTTATCTTGTGAAGTCTGTTAGGTATGGTGAAGACAACATTCCCATTAGTGAGAGTCGTGCCGAAATGACGCGGGTCTGGATTTGCTTCAAACACTCCCCTGGGCCCCCACCCAAGCAAAACCAACAAGCAAAAACGAGTGGGGCAGGAAGGGGTTCTGGAAACTGGCAAACTGTGGAGTGCTGTCGAGGCTGGACATGGGTCTACTCGCAGGGGCTCGCTTTACTCTCTTCTTTCTACCATTTGTTTGAAAACATCATAAAAACAAAAAAATAACTGGAAAGCTGAGTGTAGCAGGGCAGGGAGGGCAGATGCTAAAATTGTTGTTTCCACCAGATATGAACCAAGTCTGCGTCAACAAAGGAGAGAGACGACGGGACCAGCCCTCAGGGCATGGAGCCCACACTGCACAACCCACACGTGGGGGGGTCTGAAAGCCAATCGATCTCAAGCTTCAAATCCAATTCATCATTTCTGCTTGAAGTACATGTTCTAAAACATGAGCACAAATGAAGCATTCTTCATAAAGTCAATATTTCTAAGGACTTCCCTGAGTTACAAAGGCCAATGGAATCTGATGCAAGCTCAGGATTGTGTCTCTGAAGAAACGTGAACACATCAGGTAGGAGGCCGGTTCCACCATGGAGAGGCAATCGATTCCCTGTGGCTGGGACGGTGGATGAGGGGCATGCCCCCTGATTTACACCGCCCTGCCCCCCCACCCCGAAGACGTGGTGTCCCCTGGGGAATCCCCGCAACAGAAACCAGCACATAAAATCTGGCCCAAGGATGCGACCTGCATGGATTCTCGTATTCAACTGGCAAGTCCCTTTCTGAGACCCTGCACACCTGCTCTGCAGCATCTCTGTGAGTGTTCGCTCTGACCAGCAGAGCCCAAGGACCCAGTGCCCACCCTGGACTCCTCCCTGGCCTGTGAGTGGAGCCGTCACCGTGCTGTGCTCCCTGGGAGTGGGAATGAAGTCAGGACACTGCAGAGTGAAAAAGCACATGGCTCCGTGCCCAGAACCCACACACTGCTACAGCCCAGAGGACAGAAGATGTGGTTGGTTCCACAGAGGTTATGTTTGGGGAGAGGAAGGCCGAAGGACAGGCCTGGGCACCAAATGACAGTGTGACCCCTGAAGCCTCTGGCAAGGTTTAGTCCAGAGCCCACTGCGCAGCACCTGTCTTCAGAGTGTCTGACGGCCAGCACCGCAGGGAGGGCCGCTTTCGAGGGTCACCTCTGCGTGGTCCCTTTGTTTACAGGCCAGGGAAACATCTACTCTCACAGGAAACCAGGTCTCACCTTGTTCAGGGAGCCACGTGGCCCCCAGGTTGCCAAGGGAACGGGGAAGGACCCGGCTGGATGCCCTCCTTTGCCGAGCAAGGAGGTTCAGACCAGGATGAAACAGGGCCAGTGGCTCCAGCAGCCACACGAACGTATCCACCCTTAAATGTCATGAACATTTCAGGGTGAAGCTTATTCTCAGGGGCTCAGTGGAAGCAGGCTGCCTTTTGATGACAAGACACCAAGATTCACGAGGAAGGAAGACGCCAAAGCAGCAGTTAATGGTGGCCAGCCTCTGTCGGGCACTCCTCTGTGCAGACCCTGGGCACCCCACACATACCCATGTCTCCTCCAAACTCCCATGGCCTGTAAATGGGGCACAGATGGCAACCTGGGGACCCACCCTCCAGTTCCTGCAACTGGGCCAACTGCCCAGCCTGAAAACCCATAAACATCGCTGGCCAGAATGCTAGGAAGAAACTCGGCCGCCAGGCACGCCCTGTATCAAGCAAACGTGTGCACACAGGGACTCTCAAGGACGTGCCTTACCGGCGACAGAGGGGAATTAGAAGCCCGCATGGAATTTACTTTCAGATACAGGAACATACTGATCAAAAATGCCATTTACATAGCATTTGCATGCGATGATTTTAAGGTTTCTCAGGAAGATGGGATGGAGCATCCGGCAGGGTCGTGGCTTCTGTTTGCATCCTGTCTTTGGTGTCTATCCCACAGCGTCCTCGGGGAGGCCCTGGAAAGGGTGCACGAGCCTCTTCAGACCCCTGCAAGTCAAACAGGTCTTCTGTCCCAGGGAGCGGGTCTCAAGTGTGCGGTGCGTCAAGCAAGAGGGGAGCGCTCCTCCAGAGAGGTGGTTGCTGCAGGGCCTGGGCTGATGGCCGAGCTGCTGATGCAGAGGACTCCGCTCGGTGGGCTTTTTTGCTGCCTGCCAGCCGGCCGGCCTGCCTTCCAGAAGGCTCCTCAGGACATAGGCACTTACCTGGACGGCCGGCCAACATCAGGCCAAGACTCCAAACACACGAAGACATCCGCTCCTGAGAGCCTTACCTTGTGTACGCTTTTGGGGTTTTCCAACCACGCATAATACATTTCTTCCACATAGTTGGAACTAGTCCCGCTGAGGAAGGGCTCAGCAGCAACGGGGGCGGTAAAGCACCGAATCTGCCCCAACGTCCTAGCTGCTGCTGGTCTGTTTTGTGAAAATGTCTTCACAGTCTGGGAAGCCGTCAATGGCCTCAACTTAGCAGCACAAGTCCTTAAGTGAAACATCCTTGTCCTGACGTCTCTCACGACGGTCTGCACAACAAAAAGGAAGAAAAGTCAGAAAGGGCATTTCATCAGACAGGGAAAACTTGTGCAGACTGTGGCTGGCAGAGACACCTGTGGCCGTGGGCTCCGCATCAGGGCCCGGGTCCGGGCGCAGAGGACACAACAGAGCATGTGCACACGCGGCCACCCTACCCCATCTTCTACGTATGGGGCCGTGCTCCACATGACACAGAGGCGAGGACGCAGCTGTGGTCTCGCTGGAGGGATGTGAGGCCGACGATACACATGGGACACCCTTAAGTTTGTGCGTAAGACAATCACAGAAAAGGCAGCAAGGATTATTTCATGAGGATTAGATTAAGATTAACCATAAAATGAAGAAAAACATTTCTAGTCTATCCTGAAACTATTGAGCACCTCCTGGACTCATGGTGTTCTGGAACATACAGAGAAACTGGAAAAATATTTTGGTCACCCTCAAATAATTTATCATCAGGCAGAAGAGAAAAAGAATAAAAAAGGAAAAAAACACTGCAGAGAAGACACTCAGTCCTTGAGAGGCACCCAAAATGCCAAGAGAACCCCTCCAAAGGCCCCTTCCTTCCAGGTGGGAGGAAAGAGCAGACAAGGGAAGCTTTGGGAAGGCTGCGGCTTTCAGGCTGCGAGGAAGCATTTAGCCATGAAGGGGAGGAGGCATTCTAAGCCGAAGAATCAGGAGCGGGAGAGACAGAGAGGTGGGAAAGGGTGAAGGAACACGGAGAAGAGCAAGAACTGTCTGACACGAGACGGGGGAGGGGGGTGAGCTGGACAGGGCCTGACGCCACCCCCAGAGCATGGCCACCCTTCATAAGCACCGGGGAGCTCGGGAAGACCTGACAGGGCAGGGGCTGCACTCTAAACAAGTTCCAAAGGGGAAGTGCACACAGCAACCGTGACAGAAATGTTTACCTGCCCTGTGACACATTAGGACTTCTCACGAACCTGGCAAACCCCCTAGAAGGCAGGAACCAGCTCTTCTGTTTACCGACTGCCTTTCTGAGTTTTAGTTTCTTTCTCGAAAGAAAATCCCTAAGGTCATAGGGCCACTAACAGCAGGGCCAGGATGCAATGCCCGTCTTCCTGTTCTGCCTGGCCCTTCAGCAGCTGGAGAGGAAGGGTGAGGCCAGGACGAGAAGGAAAGGACTGTGGGGGTGGGGGGGGCAGGTACTTCTTTGCTTCTGAGTGGACCTTGCGCTTGATGGTCACAATTTTACTAAATTTAACACATACCTCTATCAAACACAGCCGTATTATAAAACAAGCGACTGTAGCCGCCAGACCATGCAAGAGTATCTTGAACCAATTCCAACCATGCCTGAGAACCCAGTGCGCCTGCGGGCAGGGCCCCTGTTGGCAGCGACGACACAGTGCTGCTCCCCCTCCCCAAGAATCCTGGGTGCCCAGGAGCCCCGGGCAGGGAGGGGAGGGGAGCAAGGCTCACACCACAGCCCCAGGTTGCCATGCATGCTGGCCTAAGGCCTTGCCTGAGCCTGTGCCTCGAAGCAGATGCCCTGGCTGGAATCACACCCAGCTCTACACCTACCTGAAGGAGATCCAAGCCCTGAATTGTGCTAAGAATTCCCCAGAAATAACAGTTGTGCAAACTAGTCAGAGTACTGTTTACAGGAACTCTTCCTCTTGGCCCAAACATGCTCAGAATACACACACGGCCTCGGACGCAGAGGGCGCCGGCCCGCCCTGCTGCTTCAAAAAGACAGGCCAGCAAAAGGAAGAAGCAGAGCAGGTGCTCTGAAACCAGCTGCACAACCAACAACATCTTGCCCCTCATAGGTTCAAGACAGGCAGGCCGCGGGTTTCGAATGTGGCCACAGAACGAAATCTCAGGCTGCGCTATTTTCACCTCAGGAGTCACACGCTCACGTCCACTCTCCCTGCCCCCACCACGCGTCTCTCCATCGAGCCCCAGCCAACGCAGGGATGGCAGAAACTACCGCTGCTGCTTTTCATGACGTACATCCAAAGCAAAGCGCTTGTGTTTCCCCTGCAGCGTCACTATCGTCCGAGCCTCCTGAGCCATGCCACGGTCTCTGCATCGGGCTCTCCTCCCAGGACACAGTAGTCTCCCTGCCACCAACTGTCATTACTGAGCCGCTGTGATGCCCAGTGACACTGGTACCACACTGACAACCACAAAACCACTCATTCCTTCGGTTCTGCCAAAATTGGTCCTCCCAACACGACGCTGCAAATAGCCCATGTTATCTTAGCTGCTGTCTGCAGTCACTGAAACTGACACACAGCTCACGGCTGCCCAGACAGTCACCGGGATACATGACAACTGTCAAACTCCCCTTAACAGGACTCATCAGAAAGACTGCTCGTCAGTGGATGGCTCCACCCAAGGATGCCCATGATCTGATGGACCTGAGCAGACACTGGGTTTACATTCCAGATTTTGGAAGAACCAGATTCTGTCTTTCCAATCCCAGAGTCACTATAAGAACAGTGCATCAGGGGTGCTGGGGTGGCTCAGTCGGTTAAGCGTCTGCCTTCAGCCTGGGTCATGATCCCAGGGTCCTGGGATCGAGCCCCACATCGGGCTCCCTGCTCGGCGGGAAACCTGCTTCTCCCTCTCCCACTCCCCCTGCTTGTGTTCCCTCTCTGTGTCTCTCTCTGTCAAATAAACAAAATCTTAAAAAAAAAAAGAACTGTGCATGATTTGGTAGAGACGTTCAATTGTTCAAATGCCTTCATGAAATCCAAAAAGTCCACGTGTTCTGACTTTGGTTTGGATGAAGGTTTTTATTTGACAAGGATGCCAAAAAGTAGTCTTTTCAAAAGATGGTGATGGGATAACGACAGTTCCACAAAAAAGCGTGAAATTAGATCACTATCTCACACCACATAGAAAATTAACTCAAAATGGATCAAAGAACTAAATGCAAGAGCTAAAACACCTCTAAGAGTCTTAGAAGTTTTAATACTTCGAAGTTACAATGTAGGAAATCTTTGTAGGCCCTGAGTCAGGTAATGGATTCTTAGGATACCAAAAGTACAAACGAATGAATAAACAGATAAATTAGACCCCATCAAAATAAAATCCTTTGTGCGTCATTACAGGCACCATCAAGAAACAGAAAACACAAACACAAAATAGGAAAAAACATTTACAAATCACACGATTATATACAGAATATGTCTAAAAACCCTCTTATAATTCAACAGTAAAGAGAAAAATAACCAAGTCAGACAACCACCACAGGACACAAGTAGACGTTTCTCCAAACAAGATACAGAATTGGCCAACAAACACATTAAAAGATGTTCAAAATTATTCATTCGAGAACTTCAAAACAAAACTGTAAGATACCACTTGATGCCCACTAGACTAGACATGATCAAAGAGAAAATAGGTATTGGGGAGGACGTGGAGAAATGGGAGCCCTTGCGCACTCCTGGTGGGAATACAGCTGGTGTAGCTGCCGGGGAATGCGGTGTGGCAGATCCTCAGAAAGTTAAACATAGAGCTACCGCATGACTCAGCACTCCCATTCCTAGGTACGTAACCAAGAGAAACAAAAACATATGTCTATACGAACCTTTGTACGTGAATGTTCACAGTGGCATTATTCATAAGTCGCCAAAACACGGTAACAACCCAAATGTCCATTAACTGATGGAAGGGTGTACAGAACGTGCTACAGCCACACAATGTGACAGTAGCTGGCAATAAAAAGGGATGTGATACAGATCTGTGCTGCGACACACACAAACCTCGAGAATGTTATGTGAACAGAGTCATTCACAGAAAACAACAGGTCATATGACTTTATCACGCAGAATGTTCAGTACAGGCAAATCTCTACAGACAGAGAGCCTGCTGGTGGCTGCAAGGGCGTGGGGCAGAGAGGACATGTGTCAGCTAATGGGTGTGGGTTTTCTTCAGAGGAGGATGAAGATGCTCTACAACTAGATTATGTTGATGGCTGCACAACCTTCCGATATACTGAGAAACGTCCAATTGTGAAACTTAAATGGGTGAATTGTATGGTATATGAATTGCATCAAAGACATTGTTTAAAAAAAAAAACTACGTCTAAGAAAACACGTAAGTGAATCTATTAGTATTGGTAAAGTACATAAAATGACCCTATTTGTAACCCATTAATTTCAAGATGCAGGTATAGACCTGTGCCTTTGAGAAAAAGAACATTTAAGATAAGCAAAAACCAAGGCAAAACTTGTGATTAAGGATTCGGTATACTGCCCTTAGGAAATTATATGCTGACATAGAACAGGACTTTATCTGTGCCTGGACCTTCCCCTGTTGGACACACACTTTACCCAAGGCCATCTCCCCATGCACAGAATGCAGAGATAAACTGACTCCTGACGCTATCAAAGTCATGTCGGCGAGGCAGAGGTGCAATTACAGAGGCCAGGTCTAGAAAGGACAGCCCAGGCAGCTCCTCAGGAAATGAGTCTGAGGAAAAGAGCCCGCATCGTTAAGTGACTGTTTCCCATGTGTGTTGCCTGACAGCCATTTAAAAAGCACAACAACTGATCTTGAAGACATTCTCCTTTCTTTTTTTCTTTTGTGGTTGCAGACTCGTTGAGATACTCATGACGAACCAAGAAGATCATGTGTGCGACATGCCTACAGTTGTTCCTTCCATGGCTGCACTTACCATACTTCCCACGGTGACACAAGGACATGCACGGAGAGGGCACAAATAGGAACTCTCCCCTCCCTGGAGGAAAATCTCAAAGAATTTGATGTCTTTCACTTGTGACGCCTCATCAAGCATAAACTGAAGGACAGGGAGGTAGTGAGGATCACTTTCAAACTGCAAAGGTATCTCGCCATTACTTGGTAGAAATGATGGTCGAGTGAGCCTACAGGACAAACAGGCAAAGGGACTCTCAGTTGCTACACGAGCCTCAAACATGTCACGGGCTCTGTGTTCAGGGTCCTTTGCCAGAAAGTGACAGCAGCGATCACTCTTGCTCCCACTCATCGCTTTTTGTGATTATGGTACAAACATGAGAGCACTTTGCACACTCTGAAAGTGTTCTATGACCAAAGAATCACTGCTTACCAGCAGAAAAAAAAGACCAACTAATGATATCTCTTAAAAAGCTTAAGTTCTCAAGGTAAACCTAACACAAATTAATATGGGGAAGGTAGCTGACCAGATTACTGAGAAGAGCTTCCATCTCTGAAGTCAGAACTCCCAACAAGCTTCAGTGCGCAGGTCTCAAGGCTGACCTGTCTTCACCCAGACCACCACTGTGTGGTACTCTGGGGTGTAGCTAGACAGGCATTCTTCAAGGGTGTTGATCAGACTATAGATTATTAAGTATTAATGAAAAACAAGGCCATTTGTCAGTATTTATTAAAAATTTGAAGGCACATACAGTGGGTGCGTGGGTGGCATAGTCAGTTAAGCATCTGACTCTTGATTTTGGCTCAGGTCATGATCTCAGGGTCATGAGATCGAGCCCTACATCAGGCTCTGTACTCAGCGCGGAGTCTGCTTGTGTTTCTCTTGCCCTCTCTCTCTGCCCCTCCCTCCCCAAATAAGTAAATCTTAAAACAAACAAACAAACAAACAAACAAAGGCACATATAGGACTTCTGTTTCCCACTAAATGCACCTGAAGAAATAAGACATTACATTTAAACCAAAGAAAACATAAGACTCTAAAAGGCGGAGAGAAGGAGGCAGACTGGAAAGGGACCTGGGGGCCCCAAAAGGCACAGCATCAAGTCCTCAATTTTCTTTCTGCTTCATATATCCCAGACTAGGTGCTGAAGAAGCTGGCAACCCAGAAATGACGACTCACATAGACAAGCTGCAAACAAAGCCTGCTCTCTCTGGTCAAAGGACCAGAAAAGGGTTGCATAGCAGGACAGAAATTTTTAGACAATCATCGCTCTACCGCAGCCTGCAGCCAACCCTACAGAAAACACTGTTGCCCACCTCTACACCAACCAGTCGTGTCAGAGAAGATCAGGGACTTCCATCCCCACCAGGTGACCCCCACA